TTTAGTTCCGTTTCAATGAGGCACCAACTAAATGCCCCACACAGATATATACATGTAGTTGGCTTTGCTCTTAACTTCGCACATCACTTCGCGCTTCTTACACACGGATAGATGCAGCCTTCTTCCAATGCGTTTACTGTGTGGAAATGATGGCGGTGGCATTAAGTTTGCTATCGTGGTTTTCGACTGTGATGGGTCTGGTGGGGCTTAATGACATCGAGCTGCCAGAGTCGTGCTGATATTGATCTAGGTGATGGTCCTAGCTTTGTAGTACGTAATCTTCCAAGTCATCTGCACATGCCTCTTTTCCGCTCGATCAACACTTCTTAGCTGCTAGTAGCTCTATCGGATCAGCTTTACCGATTCTCGCCGTTAACAGCTATTTCAGATATGCATTGAAGTTTTTTGGCCGATCCGCTTTCGGGGCTTCAAATGCCCAACTTCTGACTGTGCTGTTTCTTTGGACACCATTACGGAATTATTGAGGTGCGTACGCTCAGTTTTCGGAGACGTGTTGGACATATTTACGTATAACTTAATTGTTCAGTACCTCACTAAGCGTCTGTCGCACCATTGTGGCTGTATGTCGATGAAGGTAGTGCATCGGGGCGAGTCGCTCTCATCAGCAGTAGCAGCAACATTGGCAACAATAATCAATCACCTTCGTCCACAGCATCGATTGCTCTTATGCAGGACATGCTGGCGCCATCGCGTTTAGTCAGAATTGGTCTATTAAGAACGTACCACTTACGGTAATAAACCGGACACACATCAAGTATACCGCCACTCCAAAACGCTAAGTGGTGGGGAGTCAGGTAAATGGCAAAGAAGCGGACGATAAAATCCATCGATCGCCCCGGCTTACCCACCCTGGTGGCAAGTTCATTGTCTAAGAAGGCAGACTGAATAAAATGGTGTAGCTTCCAATATGATGATTTTTTTATGGACAACAAAGAAAAACAAGGGAAGAGAGACAACAGTTGACGTAAAACCAAATGAAAAAGATCAAATCAAATTTCGCATATTAATCGGGAGAGAAGATGTCGCAACTGAAGGGGTATACTATGCTGAGTTAATGCGGACACTGAAGCAATCGTCAAACCTGATCAATACGCGAAACCTGAAAATCGCCAAATTGTCATATAAAACCGTTCGACATAGAAACTTCATTAAAGTATCTTAAAATAAATAAGTTACTGACACAAAACGATATGGTTATAAAAAGGAGGCGTTCAAAAACAGACAAATTACCATGATTCAGTGACGATAACAAGGGATATCGATACTTTTTATATCGAAAAAATTAAATTTTAGGTTCCGCATTGCCTCTCTCACTACCTCTCTTTTTTTTTCTTTAACTATTTATTCTTTTTCTTCTAGTTGATACTACTTTTGCCGTTGTCATTGATCGTGAATAGTTTGAAATCATTTTTCTCTTAAAAATTGTAAAAATTATATCGTATATATAATTAGATCGTTCTTTAAATATATAGCAAGTAAGCAGTAAGTATAATACACCGATTGCAAGTACAATGAGGCTAGAGTGCCCAAAATGCCAAAGCAAACGGTAATTTTGATTTTAAGAACATAAGTTGCAGCATATGATGTTACTTGGACGGAGTTAGAAATGGTTTCATATGCGAACGATTAAGTTGTGCTACCAAACAAGATATCGAGATCACTTATATATATATACATATATATATATATATATAGCATTGCGGAAGCAAATGCCACAACCGTGGGTCAATGTATGTCAGTAAAAAAAAAAACCCTCTGGTAAAATCAATAATAAATTGTTTTAGGATCGTGCTTCCAGCGTATAGATACAAAGACAGCGTATTTTTTTTCCGCTTGAGCCCTAGTGAGAAGATGAAGTTGCTTATTGAATGCAATTCCCAAATATTTAACAAATTTGTATCGACTTTTAAATACCTTTCGAAAAACGAAGGATCTGGGTGGGTGGGTTTGGACCCGGCTTCATCAAAGTATTTCTTATACTACTGACGTTTAATGGACAGACCGAGTTTGTGGCTAGTCTGCCTGCTAATGTTAAAAGTAGAAAATGGCCGAATTGACAGATCCTTAAATTGAAGTACTTCGTATTGCCTAGATGACCCGAAAACTAATAGCCCTGCCCTTCAAAAACTCGTATGGCTATAATGTACAGCAGATCAGGTCTAAAGATATAAACTAAATGAAGCGATGTAAAATCTATAGAAGAATACATGACCTTCTCGCTTATATTAGTTTAAATTAAAAAGGCCTATATTAGCCTAAATTAAAATTAGTTCTACCTGGTAGAAGTAAATATGCTATTACAAACCATAAAAATATAGTTCAGTGGTAGAACATGCTGTCGCAAACTGAAAAATCCCTGATTCGCACGCGATCTTATCCCTAACTAACAGTAGCGAATATTAGTGAAACGTAAACATTTAGTAGCAAAAACGTCGGAGAACAATGCTTGTTATTGCTTTTTTTGAGCGACAACGAAGCATATGAGAAATACTAGTTGATACCAATAGCCTTTGACGATAGATCAAGGGGCCTTGGTTTAAATCCGTTTTACTAGATAAATCACGTAGATAGATCGCGTAAACCTGTACACTGGGAGACAACAATATGATATCTGAAAATGATCTGGTTATTGTCTATTTTGTAGTCAGCCTCAGCCATTTATAAAAGCATACACGTAAAGCACTATAATAATTACAAAGGGTAGATAAAAATGCAGGTGTATCTAAATATCGTTAGGTATTTGAGAACGAAACTCATTGACGCATCTTTATCTCATAATTTTATTTCGGAATGATTACGAGTATTCACTATCGATTGGTTTACTGATACATCGCACACTTTGTCCGCACTAGTCAATTTGATAAACTTGCTTCTTTTTCTAGAATTGATGTGGGTCAAGGCGAAACCCCATGTAACTTGCTAAATGTTCTTAGCCCTATGTTCTCAATGTGTATCTGATGGCGATTACTGCTGCGTCTTTAAAAACATTTGGTTTCCGAAAAAAGCGAACCGTAAACCCTCACCCATTCATTGCTGACTTCATGAATAAGAAACAATTAATCAAAGCATTTTGTAGCACGGATTTAGCTTTCAGTATAGAGCATGCTCTCCGCTAGTTCCCCTTGCCTACATAAATTGTACAATGCATATTGTATGAGATACGTTAGCCGTTCGTAATCAACCGTCGTACATCAACCATACGCCAGTAAACCATTAAAAGAGGCGCTTGAAATCAACAAGCAAAGGACAAACATTATATATGAATTCTAAACAAGACTAGAGCTACTTTCAGATTCAAAAATCGAAGCACTCAGACACTTTTCAAGCGAATCCTTGACAGAATGTATGTCGTTTACTGGCAAATATGGATGAATATAAGCCAATCTTTCCTGAAAGCAAAAAAACATAGTTCCATGGTAGCTATGTGCTGGTGTATGCACACTTGAATTCTAGTGGTCGTTTTAGGCGTAGCAGTGTGCAATACTGCTTTCGTGGCACGGTTTTAAAGATTGATGAATATCTGATTGATTTCCCAAATCCGATAATTAAACATGACTAAAATAATCCTGTTCACACATTGACGTGGCCGTGTTGCCATTAATGAAAATAAGGAAAACAATTAGAACAGTAAAATTTATTATGGTATGACGTACACGAGTAGAGTTAAGCACAGTATTGGAATGGCTCGGCGAAAGCTCTATTTCCGCGAATGGGTTCAACACCTTGATAAATCAGACATTATTTTCTAATGATAATTATTAGTAACTTATTAAAGTAGTAGTATTATTATTAGTGACTCATCAAATTCATTCATCAAACAATTTAGCAGACCGCAACCAGTCTTGTTATTGTTTTTCGGATATAAAAGCTTTAATTAGTACGTTAGTATCAAATATGAATCTAATAGTGACTGTGAAGTAGTCGCGTCCGGTCTGCAATGTTTTGCTGAGTAACGGTGCCACGTCCACCGACACACTGTCCGCCCTCGTGGCCCAATGGATAAGGCATCGGTCTCCTAAACCGGGGATTGCGGGTTCGAGTCCCGCCGAGGGTCGCGTGTGACTTTTATCTAATTTCTTTTCGGTGACTTTTTCTCTACCGTAACGAGCAATGCTTGTTTTTATAGTCGTGGTTGTTAGAGTTAATAGGTTGCTAATAATTTGTGTATTCGTATATGTATATATGTAACACAGTCTTTATATTCTAACCGAATGTGTATACTTCTTGTTGTGGCAAAAACTGAATTATAAATGCTAAGAAATGGTGAATGTTCAATCAGACCAAAATATTATTTATGGTGGAATGGGTGTAACGATAATATCCGAGGGTAACTTGTAACTTGCCAACAGAGCCTCAGTCAATATCGCATATAAAGTGATTGAACGAATGCATCTGCTTGGGCTAAAAGTCTTATAACACAACCGAATTTTTATGCATACGTTTGTATAGAATGGACAGAAGGTGACTAAAGTACAAAAGAAACGTTAGTGATAGTCAACTCGTAATTTTTGAATAATCATTAGAATTGAATGTGTAAATACCTCACATCTCGTTGCTTTAATTGAGAAATGAGGATAGCAATAATAAATAGAAACCAAACAGCGAAAGCATATGTTGTTTCACTAAATTGTTAATTATAGCCTACTTGTTGAAACGGTTCTCAATATTGCTACAATATTGAGAACTATTAATTATGGCAAGTATCTATATACATGTACTTGCTAACAGAGAGCGCGACACGCACATTATTCGGGTGGTTCAAATTTTATAATGTTAGCAAGCGATTTTTATTAAGTCATTAACTCGGTGAAGTATCGTTATTGAACATTTATTTAGTCTAAGCATAGATGATTGAGTTTCTATTTCTGTTCATGAACATGCGTTTCCACGAAAGCTGAAATCATGGCACGTTTAAATAACAAGTTTAAAAATCGATACACGAATTCGCGCTGTTGGTGTGTGGGATATGCACAGTGGGCCGGCTAAACATAAGGTCAAAATAACCAGTTGAATAATGCCTGTATCTTGAAAACTTTTTCTGTTTTTACATTTTTGTTTTACCTATTTGAAACTATACTAAAATAGTTGATATTTTGGAAATTAATTCGCGTATGAGCAGTGACTTTAGTGACTAGTAGTGACCGAAAGTGAAGCTTCACGAGTGATAAACAAGACGTTAGGAGGGCGCGGTTTTGTGCTAGTATTACAGAATACTACAATTATTACAAAATCCACAGCCGGACACCAAATATAACTGAAAGAATAGCGTGAAGTTCCTCAAGGTACCTGTGAAGCCAAAGTTTAGAGTTGCGACCATCCAATAGAATCGTCGAATTTAGAATTGATATATGAGCAAATATAACACATCAATCGGTTGTGTTGCGTTATCATATAATTTGCCCTCATATCAGCTAAAAGATACCAAAATGAGGGCACATTTGTTAAGAAGGTATGCCCGCCAAGTTTCTACTGCTTCGCCCGTTCGGCGTTTATGCACTGCTCCTATGATTACTCCTGGCAAAGTTGACGACGGAATAAATGACGAACCCTATATAAAACTCACGGAGCTTGGCGTCTTCAACAGTCCAACACTGGAGTCTCATACTTCGTTAATAGTTCCTTCGCTTCTTCGCAAAAATGTCGTTTTAATTCATCCCATCCTGAAGAGGATTCCGAAAGCTGCACTGAATACTACAACTCAGCTCCAGGTTGCCGAAGCAAAGGCTTTGGTAGCAACGATTGGTAATCACTGGAACTTATGTGAAACTATCGCATTGAATACACAAGCGGAACAAAAACGCGTCCTTTTTGGAACAGGTACAGTCAAAATTATTTTGATTAATGGCAGACTTTATTTTATCAACGTAGAAAATACGCAATGGCCAGAGGACCGCTAAAAAATCATACGGACCACTTTGTATGACGTTATTATTAATGCGCATTAACAGTTTATTTAAATTGTAGCCCGTTTATCATTTACTAAGAACTTAAACAATTTAAAGTCATGTCTAGATTTCTATTCATTTTATTATATATATAATATATTTGCTTCCTGCAGTTAGTATTTTGATCTGCACTAACGGTTTCCCATACTGACTTGAATTCTCGTGTAAGATCTCTACTGAATATATGCTACGTACAAGTTGCGTTTTTTATACTGTTAAATTAATTAAAACGTTTGTCCAAATTCATTCTGATAAAGTATAGAATCGAGAATAATATTAGCCCTTACCTAGAAAATTGATCAGACTTGTGGGTTCTAAAATGAACTAGCAAATCACAAATACAAAATCAAGCATAGAAAAAGAGCCAGGAGAGAATTATCATAACCTGTCACTGTCACGATGGTGTGTTCACTTGCTGGAACCTAAATCTACCAAATTTTCAGGAAATTTTTCTATCATACGCGATGTCATAAACGAGCGCCAGCGAAGATCACCCAGTGTCGTAGCATTTTTTAATGTCACCATGCTCACGGCAGTCCAACAACATACGTTGCGCCAAGAGCTCGGCGTTGACGTATACGACAGGTAAAACATCGAATTAGATAAATAGATATACGATAATGAATGTTTATCAACTTTTGTTGTCCGCTATATGTCATAATGAACATTTATAACCTGTTTAGTTCTTTATCGTATTGAATTCTTGTTTGGACTGATAAACGCACCTAAGGTACATGCTCGTCTTACTGATCTTCAAGCAGCACGCCCGTACGAAAGAGGCCAAACTGCAGACCTCGCTTGCAGAACTCTCATACTATCGTCAACGGATGAAACTTCACGGATCAACAGATATGCTGGTCCAGCTTGAGCAGCGGGAAGGTCATGTAAAAAGAGAACTAGAATATATTCAGGGACATCGAAGCTTGTTAAGAAAGAAAAGACAGAAGCTACAATTGCCCGTGAGTAGTCGTAGATGAGCGTAATATATTCATATATCACTTAGATATTGCGATCCTACAGTATTAGTACATTAAAGCTTAGATTTGTATTTCTATAAGTACTGAATTTATATGCTATTAAGAATCATGAATTTCGTAGTAAGTGCTGATTCGATGCTAATTTATCTGTAAAGCCTTCTGCCCATTGTGTCAACATGGTGTCCATAAATAAAAAAAGTCGTCAAATCGCTTCACGGTTAAGCACAATTTCAGCACAGTTGATATCGCTTCATAGGATTATTCTGGATAATCGATGGATTTACATTAGAGATTTTCGTTAGCTTGGTGTTGCTAATTGGTACTCTCTTCCCTTTGCCTGGGTTTTACGTCCGTTAGGTTGTGGCCGTCGTCGGATATACAAATGCAGGGAAGACCTCGCTCATCAAAAAATTTACGGATTCCAACAAACTCGTACCGCTTAATCAGTTGTTCGCCACCCTCGATGTAACCTGTCATGAGGGCTATCTACCGAAACTCTCAAAGGTGGGCTTAGGATCTCGACAACGCACACGAAGGACACATATTATTTTTGCTCGAAGAAAGCACTAAACGTTTTTTGGATTAATCAGACTTCTTTACCTTGACCATGATTCAGCATTGATCCGATCTTTTTCCATCCATAAATTAAAGGTTCGCTGCTGAAATGAGTGTTTTACTCGTTAATATATGTAGATGGTGATTTAAGATCCTACGAAGTAAATTTTTAACGTTTTGGTCCACCATCTAGTTCGGTAGAATCTATCAGTTGGTATCTGGTTGTTTCTATAAAAAAAAATTATTCAATTTATGATCAAATAATTTTTCCCTTACAGTTGAAGATGTAGTAACACCGCTTAGCAGCGGTAGTTTGTGAGCTGCCAAAAAAAGGGCATTTATTATAGAATGTCGACAGTGCGTTGGCCAAATCTGACAAATTTCTCTATATTTTATGGTTTTTAACTCACTCGACAATTTCTAGATTATTTACATAGATACCGTAGGATTCATCAGCGATATCCCTACCCAGTTGATAGCAAGTTTCCGAGCTACCCTCGAAGATGCGTTGCTGGCTGATCAGTTGGTGCATGTATTTGACATAAGCCATCCTGACCTCGAGAGGCAATGTGAAACTGTCCTCAAAACACTCCAGAGTATTGAGACATCCGCAAAGCTCATGGACACCACCATTCATGTCGGAAATAAGGTTTGATCCACGCTTCATTGTAAATACTAAATCATGTATAGATTACTGACAGAGAAGTCTGACCTTGAAATACGTACGAGTTTTATTAAAGGCAAATCATACTTTTCTACCATTATTCCGCTATTACACATCTCGCTTAGGTTTACAATAATTTTCTTTTGCATAGCCTCCAGAGTTGCCATCTAGTTAATATGTAGCCTATACTACACAGGTACAGAAGCATCTGTAAATATGGAACGTTACAACAGCCTAAAATCCTTCTGTTGTCATATTATACCTTTCTTTTTGAAGCATTGAGATGAAAATGAACATCGAGCAATACTTCTAGGAATTTGCATTTCTCGTGTGAAGCTTTGTCAGCGTTTTATAATCACATTAGTACCCACTAAATTCACACCTTCCACTGCCCTGGGTTTTTCGTCTGTATTTATTCTATACGTGTTTTACCCCTCAGACTGACTTATGTTAGATACCATATAATTATAATGATTAGGTAATCTTGCTAAGTTTTGTTAATATTTACAGGTGGATCTCATTGATGATGCAGATTTAATGATGTCACGCGCAGAGCGAGTTCTCGGTCGGTCCGCCGTCAGCGCTTCAGCAGTGACGGGCCAAGGTATCAGTGACGTATTAGCCAATGTTGAAGATAGTATCATAGGTAACACTGGCCGCAAGACTGTCAAGATTCGATGTGCAATTGGAACTGAAGTGTACAGTCATATCCTCCGTTCGAGCAACTCGGTATGTATTACGGTTAGGGACATGCAAGTTTCGCTGTGTAATTAAACATGTAGCGAACTACTGCTATGGAAGTTAAAAAGGAAGCATGTTTATCGCTATAGAAATATTTAACGCTTAATAGTAGCATATAATAATAGATTAATCAAGACAATTCATTTTCGCTGCAGCCCCAGGTACCGACTTGGGAAGAAACTATGATAGTTTGACCTATTTTCTTAACAACAAACCAGCAAAACATCAGTTAGGCGTAGTTACACAATGAAGTATCGGTACTAATAACCAACCAAGTATTATACACTATCAATTGCTAAAAATAAATGAATAGCTTTTTTTCCAGGTGAAAAGCATGTCCGTTGACGAAGTGAATATGAACTACACGACTCTCGAAGTTGTCATTACAAGCGCTGCCTTAAGCAAGCTGCAGGCTAAATATTGTTCAAATGAAGATGTTACATTTCCGTGATAATTGTATTTAAATATAAGTTAGAATTTTTCAGATAAGTGAAATAAAGACTGGTTATCACTGGAGTAGTTCGATAACGCTGGGTGATTTTTTGTAATGCTCAGTTTTGTTTTGTGACGGGTGATATGTTTAGTCAGCTGTTATTTTTTTTTGTGTATTGGATTTTAATGTTTTCCTTTTTGTTTATGTATGCGTTCAACAGTTAATTTACCTAACTTCAATTATTAGTTTCCATTGTATATCTTATTTTCTTAACGAAGACCTTATTTCAAGTTTAATTATATTTAATGTATGCATAGTGTGTGCTACTTGTATAGACTTCGCTCATCAAGCCAACCAAATCGCTAATCAGATTCTTACAAAACGTTTATTCTTAAACGTTTATATTTAAAAACTTTCTTTATTGATTAAGGAAAAAGTTCCATTTGTTCAGTTTCCATCCGTACATAAAGCAGAAATTACGATTCAACTGGAATGGCATATATTTTTCAACCCAGTGAAGACGCACGCTGAACTGTTAAATGCGGAATATTTGATTTTTCGATGTACGCGATGTAGAAAACGCTGCAATTTGGGCCTCGCTAATGTTTGTCGGGAAATGACATTACCAATTTACTTCGAATTCGAACATAGACCATCGGTATTCGTAAGCTTAGCAGACAAACACGTTACCCTCTGCTTTATCGCGAGGATAATGCGAAGTTACCTGCCAACAACCTTCACGGGTTCAAATTTGGCGCGGGCGGTCCCAGACACTTACTCCAGTCTGGTACACATCCAGGCCCACTCTGTCAGCTGCAGAATCGAATAGCAAACATCCGGAAAAGTGACATCTGAGAACTACAACACATATAGAGATGTCGTTGAAGAATTAAATGAAGAAACAACAGAGCTAGAAAAGTTCAAGGAAGAATAACTCTCAGGTAGCATATCACTGTAGGCGTATAAATAAACAGAGAAAGATGCCGGGCCGAACTGTGGATGTGTTGGAGCTTAAATTTCGCTCGAGCAAGGATTGTTTTATTGCGTTACCCCGCGGCTGGAAGCAACAGGTGGGTCAGTGGCGAAATAAACTTAATTTTTTAATGAACAACTGAAGTGTTAAAAAAAATTAACAGGTGAAGCATATTTTTCAATGAAATGTAAGGAGATAATACATTAATTGCAGAACTCGGAAGGTTCATCTTGTAAAATTTCGAGGATTTAAACCGATGGAAATGATTCCAATTTGTATTGGTTCTACTTGAAATAGTATTGTTATTGAAGAAGTTTGCCTATCATATATGGTGAGTGTAGTTATCTTGGTTTCTGTATTGCCTATTATATCTTGAAAAAACACTCCTATAAAATATCCGTATGTTCAGCTATTTTTCGTGCGTTAAAAAAATAAGTACCTAAAAAACGAATAGAGCAAAAGGGCGTTGGAAAGTTATTGTGTTATATCAGAAAAGCGAGCGTAAAAATTCCTCAGTGTAATCGTTCAATTACCCACTTTGTTTTCATTTTGGGTGCACTTCCACGTATTTTTGAGCAGTAAAAAAAATTCAGGAAATACGGGAAAAAGTTGTAAGGTACGTGTACGTGTTTCACCATACAATACAGTATAGAATAATGAAATTACGTAAACAAAACATGTACGTCTCGTTGCTGGTAACAGAATTCCTTTATAATCACACAACATTTTTTGTCAATTAATAATTCATCGTGTAAGTAAATTAGGATTATTCTTTCCTTAATTTCTAAATACATCAAATGATTATCACTTCCCCCATAGACGATTCGGGCCAGATATTTAATAGATTCTACAAGATTTTATCGTATGTTTCTGTGTGGAAGTTATGAATCGAGTTCGTTTGATCTGTCACAAATATTAGTTTCAAAGTACGTTTGCGGCTCGAAATTTTTTTACGTAATCAATTTTCGTATCATTCTTAAATGTTTGCAATAGTTTAAAAGTATGTAGGTTCATGTTTACTATATAGATATAACGCTAATAGCTTGTTTTTTGTACGTTTATTTAGCGACCGACATACGTAGTGACCTTTTCTGTCACTTGCCTCGCGTCGGGAGTAAAGGCTTTCTTCAGTTGGAATGGAGACGAAACTGACGACGATGCTATACTTGTCAACTCACATATGGCCTCTGGGTACTTACTTTAGAAACAGCAATTTACCTCCGCGGATTAAGAAATCCAGTATTGTCACTGCTTATAGTGAAATTTAGAACGTGTCAACTTATAGATTTATTGGCCGGTGTTTATGCGCAGAGGGAATAATTTTCTAACTATTGGGTACTTTATACTTTTTTCTTACTGAGAATTTGGTTTTGATCATTTTTTCAGGCTAGGTTTTAAAGAAGGTGATGAAGTTGTTGTGTGCCGGGAGCATGGCGTGGGACCCTGTCATCAAGTTACGCTTAAACCGGTTAGCAAAAAAGACTGGCAAATATTGGTATGTATTAGGATGTGGGCGTCTATTATGTATTCTTCAATGAAATTTACCGAGTTTCAGATAAAATCTGCTGAACTTCTACCGTGCCCTAATTAGTTAGCCATTACCCATGAATACATGTTGATTTTGATCTAATCATTAGAAATGCACGTTTAAGTGATACAAACTTCTGGCGTGAACTCAAAAAGTCTTTTCTTTGGAGTAAGAGTGTCCAGTTCTGGATACCCGGACCAATTAACCAATTTTACGCTACCTTAATCATGGCTTGTACTTACAATGATGCTGTTATTCAAATTTCTGAAGGAATTAAACATTGCCCGGGTGGAGCACTGTTTACTAGATCAAATACGGATTTTATGGACTGATCTGGTATTCCCAATATGGGTTCAACCGAGCGTCTGTGCAATGGTTCGGGTTGGTAAGTTTCTCTTTTAATTTCCGTTTTGTCATGCTGTGTTCATTTGTCAAATAAGAATAAGTATGGCGAACACAAATGTTGGTTTTCTTTTTAAACCCTGAACTACACAGTGTCAGTGTTTATATTAAAAGTCGTATGTTTTTTCTCGCTAGAGAAACAAACACGTATTCGGACATTTTGGAAACCTTAAGGCATCAGTTTTTATTTTCTTTTCTAGAATTGGTCCCGGCGTAATTTTATAGCTATGCATAAAATGAAATGGTTACCTAACAATGAACATTAGACATACGTAGAATATCTTTTAGAAATGATATGCTCGAGTCTCTAGTTTGTGTTTCGATTTTTATTATTAAAGTTACTTGTCATTGTTATACAAGAAAGCTTTTTTTATTATATAAGTTTCCATTTAAACGACTGGATTTATTAACACTAATGTTATCTATTTGCTCAGTCGCAACGAGCTTAACAACCGGCCCTCTCGAACTAAGCAGAATGACAGAGGTGCATGTTATACCTGAAATTGAAACCCCACTGACGCTACCGGCCTCAGCAAGCGCAACGACGTCATCTAAATCTGTCATTGGATCTTTGATGAACATAATGAAAAATGTGTCCGGAATGGGGGCATCAGAGGAGGAGGAAATTCAAGAAGAGGCGATTGTGGCCAGCGATGAATTCAGCGATTTTTTCCTAAATAAGATTTCTGCCAGATTTATTGGAAATGCCGTGAAAACTCCTCAGACAGAGGTAAGCTCATTAGTTCTTAGTTAATGCATCTAAATCGTAATATAATGATACGGATAGAAATTAGTTGAGCATAATCAACCCAAAGCCAAACCTATACATTTTCAAAATACCACAGTTAGAATTATCATAAATGTAACTATACCCATTGTAAAGCAAACAATAGCTTTCTGGCAAAAGTCAAACAATATTGTGTCCTAGTAGCACCAAACTAATAAAGTATATCTCTATGCTTGCATATGTGAGTACTTAGATTATAGATGTTTTGATGCATTTTTGATTGCGCTCTATTTTCTATTTCTAAAAAATAATTTCAAAAAAAAGTTGAATCGAAACCATATTTATATTCTCCGTATTCCAGGTGATCTTGATTTCGAATAAGGTGAAAACTCCTCGATTTGTAGCCATGGTAAGGCGTTTGTTACCGCCTGGTGATGCTGAACAAAAGAAAAACAAAGGTCCCGATTCAAATCCTATAATTGACTCCGAAGCAAATGGTGCCAATCTACTGCAAGGTAACCAATTCTATTACTAACAGCTTAGGCTTCTATTTAACAAAGTAATCTAACCGTGCAAGTAATGCTCATAGTGGAATTTTTAATGACGGTTACAAACTGCCAATTCATTTTGTTGTCATTGTCTCTTCATATGTCTCAGATTCGGTGCTATGCAGTATTCGTGTGCGGCTTAACCCCTTGAACAGTGATGACATGGCTCTATGTCCCCTTTCTCTTAGAAGGCGATTAGGCCTTGAAGACTGTTCGAGACTACTGATAGAGTTTCAGAAGGAAAAGCTCGGTCAGATCAAGTCATTTACGCTGCATCCAGTTATTAACGCGGTACGTACTGTCGATCGCTTGGTGTCGGTGAAAGAAAATGCTCGGTACGATCAAGATCTGTATGATCGCATACATTTACACAAATATGAGTGTTTACCTCAGAATCCGAGGGTACGTTTCTCATGACTTTATTGTGAATTCCGCAATCCAAATTAAATTTTCTTTCCAATTTTTTTTTTTAGTATGTGATAAAAGGGATATAGGTACAGCAACTTGGCACAATAAACTATATAAAGTAGTTTTATTTTTTAAAATGCTATAGATTTTAAAGCTGATTAACTTTTCTTTTAAGCCGTCCTTTTATGGCGTATCAATATCCCTTGGATTCAGGCCTCTTCAAGTTCAACGAGCGCAAAACAGACGGACTAATTATCTGTTTTTCTTTATGCACTACTATGTATGCAGCGAAACGCTCTTGTGGAAACCTCAGAACTCCAGTCTCTCGTTAAATCAACCCTGGGTGCAGGTAAGACCTTATTGTCAAATGGGTCTTACCTTCAACTAGGCGACTGTGGATATATAGTTGCCATTGAAAAACCGGGATGGCTTAAAGCCGAATCATCATCCTTCGTGATAACCCGAGGTGAAACAATAGCTCCAAACGGCGCTAATCAGTTACCTGTGACTAAGCTAGTGAATATCATTATGTCGGGTACCGGCAGTGCACTCGAAGAGGTAAAAAAATGTTGTACATTAGCTTTTTTTTTTAATTGTTAGTATTGTTAATGTGATTATTGATGGTCACATGATATATGTTGTATCTCCGAAACTGCAGTGATTGTGGATTTCTTTTACGGTTCTTCCTTTTCGTTGAAGTGACTTTTCTGTGCCTGATTAATATCGTTCAGTATAGTACCAGCTAGCGATAACACTGTAATCTACTTTATTTAAAAATTTTACCTAGATGCACTTAAACTAAGGGTATTGGATGTTTATTGCTTTAAAAAATAAAAAAACATCATGTAGGCTATAGAGTTTCGGTAGTTTTGGAAGAGCTCGTTCATCGAAAGTGCACTAATATGTACCCAGTTACTAAAACGTAAATGCGTTAAGGTTTTTAAAGCTATAACTTTAAGTAAACCGTAAACATCTTAGGTGGTGAAGGCAGAAGTTTAGACGAAACGACGCAGACCTTCCGTAGAAGCCTTAAATTGGTTCACGTTTTTTCTATTTTCAAAGGTTGGTAGCTGCGGTTCTATCGTCGAAGATCTGACAGTTTACCTCCAGCGATGTCTAGGCTCACGCGGAGTCTGTAACAGACCTCTACTGATTACGGGATCCCGAGGAGTGGGTAAATCTTATGTGACTACGTCAGTTGTGCGTAACTTTTGTCGGCGTGAAGCCGTCTGGACGAAAACAGTGTCGTGTGGGGTACTTAGAGGTGAGCGCGGTTCGGGTTGTTAACTGAATAAAAACGGATCTTTGCGTCGCACGACGTAGCAGAACACGTACATGAAAAAAAAGAGATGCATTTAAATTAGGTATAAAAGAAACGTGTCACGTTTGTTAATTTGCATTTTAGGTAAACGTACGGAGACGCTTGAGAAGGACTGGTCAAAGCTCTTAGCCGAAGCTTCATTCCGCGCTCCGTCCGTCCTGATCTTTGACGATTTGGATGCTCTATGCGGTCAAGCTGTTGGCCCTGAGGGCGACACAAGTCATGATGGGATTTATTTCTTGAAGAACAGCCGGCTTTTTCGGGACCTTGTTCACCGAGCCCGACAGATGAAGGTATTTTGATATTCAACGAATCCCATAAGAATGCTGTTTTAGGTTAATTGTTATATTAGGGATATGTTAATTATTTTAGATATGAGACATCAAGAAAATTCGTATTGACCAAAGTAGTGTTACTAACTTAGCGTACATTGCCGAGCGCTTCATCTCAAGACCATGTTAATAATATTTTTGACATTGTTTTTATCAATAATACAGATTTCCTTTATCGTTACGGCCATTTCCTGGAACCTGCTTTGTGGAGCTCTTACGAGAACACAAGGCCTCCATATTTTCTCTGATGTACTAGAAATGCGGTCTCCGTCTCGAGAGGAACGCTTAGATATATTCAAGGTACGTATCATTCAATCTAATCGCTAACTCTTTTATATTCAAAAATCACTTTTACTACGTTATCGGCCGACCATGGTAAGGCTGATAACAAGAGACAAGACGACTTATGATTTCTCATGCTTGCTGAATTGATGAGTCACTATTGTTTGGGTGTAATTTATAAACAACAAATAAAAAAAGGCATTGACCTTTGAATGCCACGTAGTACAGATCTTGCCTCAACTGCTGTCCTAATTCAGGTCTCATCAAATGAGATGTGTATTTTGCTTCGGTTAATTGTTGTCTATACAATTGTACCAGGTGCTGTGTCGTCAACGGGGCCTGACTCTGGGCGACCTTTCTGGATTTACTCAGCGGACAGAAGGCTTTGTCGCGCGTGACTTGGCCACTCTTGCCGATAGAGTTATGCTTAGTAACGCATGTGAAGGTAATTAATTAACTTATTTCAAACAACGTTTGTGTATACCTGCGCAATGCTTAAACGATAAGGATACTAAATAGTTTGATCAGTAAATAAAAAAAATTCAATTGTCTAACTGTTGGCAGTTCTGCGCTTCTCAGGTGGCAACGAGATGGTGAGCATGGGAACCCTAGAACCGGTGCTAGCGCGAGTCACCCCGGTAGCGCTGAGGGGTTTGAATGTGGAACGGGGATCTGCCTTAAGCAGCCGTGGCCATGGGGCGAGTGAGTGGGACGCAGTCGGCGCAATGGATGAGCAAAAGGAACTGCTGAACGAGACGTTTCTTTGGCCGACCAGAGTAAGTTAAATTGCTGTTTTGGTTTAATGAAAGGCTTTACATGTTGATTAAGTATCAAAAAAGATTTATATTCAAATTTGGCGGTTAGGCAGTTGTCAAAATATGTGAAGATCCCTGGACGGTCTCTTATAGAGCAGAAACTACTGTTTAATAGAGATACGTTCTCGTCTGCGGTCAAAAAATATACAAGTCGGTTCTGACGATACCTAAATACTGTAGTTCAAAAGCGATAAAGCAACCTCCGTTAGTTATTATATTGTGAATTCCAACCACTGGAACTCAGTAATACATGAACGTTATTTTTTTTAGGTAAATGCTTCGTCTTGGATATTCATTCATATTTACTAGTACACAACATGATTTTTTCTCGGTAATATGAACATCAGTACCCTGACTTGCTGGCACAATGTCCCATTCGGCCGGTATCTGGTTTGCTTCTTTATGGAATGCCTGGTACAGGGAAGACATTGTTGGCGTCCTGCGTTGCCAAAGAGGCGGACATTAATTTCATTTCTGTGAAGGGACCGGAGCTGCTCTCGAAATACATCGGAGCCAGCGAGGAGGCTGTGCGCGACATTTTCTTAAGGTACAAAACTACAAATCTGTATTTTATCATAGTTAACGACCCTGAAAGAGAAATAGCAATAGCTACTAAGTTAACATGCGCAGTTCAATAAAATCGCTTTCTCTTCTGCAGTCTTTGACGACTTCTATAATACATCGTCTATTTTGAAAGTAAAGATTTCCTGTTTTTTAATATCAGAAAAAAACCCAAATGAGGATCCTGGTTTTGTGTATGTAATTTCCAGATCTAATCCTGTTGTTCCGAAAATATTTGTTTTTAGGGCCAAAAGTGCAGCTCCGTGTGTAATATTCTTCGACGAATTCGACTCGATGGCGCCACGGCGAGGTCATGATTCTACCGGTGTCACAGATCGATGCGTAAATCAATTGCTCACACTACTCGACGGCGTGGAGACTGACGGTCGGTATTGGAAGGGAACATCGCTACTGCGCTCTAAATAAAATTTAGAATAAACAGAATAAGATTATATAATTTAGTAGATAACTTCATCATTTTGAATGTTGCACCCTTGTACACTTACACACATATATGGCAAGATTAACAAAAAAGTCAGATTTGCCCCTTTGTTTTATGCATCACTCAAAACCTTTTAGTAGTGCCTTAATGTTATTTTTTATTTTTGAACGACGTTGGCGATTTAGAACAAGCTCTTCTATAAATTTTCATGAATTAAAATGAATGAACCTTAGATATTTTATTAACCATAAAAAATGTTTTTTGATAATAACTATACCAAATACGGATTACTATTTTGGCCATTTCCAGCATCCGGTGTGGCTGTTTTGGCAGCAACAAGCCGGCCGGACATGATTGATCCGGCATTGCTTCGACCGGGGCGTATTGATCGCTCAGTTGAGTGTCCGTTGCCGCCCGATGTTCCAGCCCGTTTGTCTATTCTTCGAGTACTGTCTTCAAGATTGTCAGTTTTGCTTTTACCTGAGGCTGAAGACGCCCTAGAAAGCATTGCACAAAGGACTGACGGCTTCACCGGGGCAGATCTACAGGCGGTGCTATTCAATGCTCAGCTCGCGGCGTTGCAAAGAAACACGAGGTTTGGCAGTAATCCCGTTAATTCGATAACATTGGAGCCAGATAGTAATGTTGATGAGGAATGCAGTGCAACGAAGGTATCTGATGAGGCGTCATCTAACAAACCAAACGCGCCGTCGAAAGAGCGGCAAGACTTTAAGAATATTGCGTATGCCCCCACGCTGAGTAAAGGATTCATTGAGGTACGTACCGTATAATATTATGTCGATAAAAAAAACTCACTTTATTTTTTTTATGGTTTTAGATCGCTTTCTTCCAAGATGTGCTGCATGGATCTAAAGTGCAGTCCCATTTAACGTGGTCTATGATCCAAATCAGGTTTAAAATATTTCTCATTCGTAATATGTCAAGATTTTCGGCGTTGCCGAAGCCATATAGAAAGATTACTTTGCGTTAATATTTATCTGCTCATGTCTTTTGTGTCATTTATTGACCCGGTCTAATGGCCTATATTGAATCGATATCTTTTAAAAATTGCTTTTAAAAATTAATTTCATGTTAGAACGGTCCCTCGAAGTCTTACCAAATCTTGTGAGTGGCAAGAGGATACATAATAATATCGCCACCTCTTAAAACCCTTGTAAAAATTCAACTATGGTAACCTATTTGTTTTTTATCGTAAACTTACATCGTATTCTAGCCCGCAGATTCATAACTAGTCTATATTATCCAGAAAACCGATTTTCTTGCTTCGCAAAAACCATGTATACGTTAAAAACGTTAATGATTTTTGAGTGGTATGTGTCACTTAGGTTTTCTTAACAAACTTTCTAAAAAAAAATATTGACAACTTCCCGTAAATAAGTATAATCATACGGTTATACATTATTAGCACATCACGATACAACATTTGATTAAGATGGCAATAATTTTGTGTCTATTAGAGTGAACCGAAAGCAATAAGGTACAACTCCTAATGTCTTTTAAAAGTTTTAGTAACGCTTTAGTGTGCTTTACTATTGCTTGAACAAGAAAGCCGTCTTAGCACAAGACGAGAACATTTGACTGAGATTGCATTCCTGAGGCATCAAACTATAATAGCGCGAGAAATTGCGTCGAAAAGCTAACAGGACAACCGAAGGTATGGACGGATATTTTCGATTGTCGACGGCCTGTTATGAACCACAAAATATTTTCACCTGCTGAACAGCTTTCCTTAGATTTGTATTAAGGTCCTACTGTTTGCTTGGTTAACCATTAGCAGCCTCTCCATTACTATACAAAGGCTGGTGCACTTGGCCTCCGCAGTTTTTTTAGTGACTTTACCTTTAGTTCGAGAATGCGTTAACGTGAACATGTTAAAAAATGGCTGATCTAACGCATTTCGTTGAACTTCTTAAGCTCTCTTAATTTGTTTAAAAAGGATAAGGGCCTTTAATAACTAAACATTGCTCAAAGCTTAGTAAATGACCCAGTTAAGGCGCTTTCATCTATTATAATCTAAATTTTATAAAAAAAAATTACGACGTTTCTGCTATGCTTATATACTAGACGTTCAGTGCATACATTAGCCAATGGATATGAGCAATTCGTGATTGAATTTTAGAATATGTCTTATTTTGAAGTCCTAGTCGCAATTCTGTTTGATATCGAAACTTCTACACTTGCCGCAGAATTTATTTGAACTAACTACTATATTAGTAGGCAAAAAGTAAATAAATCATTTTCATTTGCATTTTAATAGTTGGCTTTGACGACGCAACAAATTGTTTATCTGGTCTGACTGTAGGCTTCAACACCAGACGTAGTCAACTGTGAAACTGAACTTCAGTTTATAAAATATGGAAACTCGTTGAATTTCAGTTAACGCCGAATGTGATCGACAGTTTGCCGGAACCAGACCGCAAAGAACTTCTGTGGCATCTTTCCTCTCAGCAATATGAAAGTGGAGATTCTTATAAACGGTCAAGTCGATGCAGCAGGCTGAAGACCGATACAATAAGAATATCTCCCCAGGATCTCGAAAAAGCTCTTCGAGACACTCGGCCCTCCCTAAGTGAATTCGAGGTCAAGAAATATCGTGCAATGTACGTTCAACTTTCTGCTACGCTCGTGGTAAAAGACATATAATTATTTATTTAAGAACAAAGTTACATCACCTGTATAATAGGCTACAGATAGGCTCCACGAGAATTTATATATTAAAAAATCTTAGCACATAGTCATCACTAAAGGTTCGCATGTGTTAGCTTCTATTTCATACTTATATACTCTTCATAATTTTGAACTAAGTCAAGAACTAATATTTACCTTTAGCTCAGGTACATTTTAGTTCGGTTTAGTTCAAATATTCCTTTTGTAAGAAGATATATTTTTCTACCGAACTTGAACAAGCATTTTTACATAATTTTTAAGAAAGCTTTTCGATGAGAAGTTCCAACTTAACGTTCAGTAGGAAATAGTGATATATGGAAAGTTAGATTTTTAGAGAAGGACTTAAAAGTCTCTACTACCGAAAATCCGGTGCGAAATAACAGTGCCACCTGTATTAACAGGTGCCCTTTTCACTTCCTCTTGGCTCAGGGTGTCCGTATTAAAAGGAAGTTTTTATTTTCATATTATAAATTATTTTCGGTTTTGTCCCGATTGACAAGTACTTTTCTTTTAGTCGCACTGTTATTTCAGAACACCTTTCTGAGTGTACCATGGGCACTGAATGTCATAACGTTGTTTGCGACAGTAGCATCACATTAGGTCAAATGTATCAATATTTATGCAACACAATTCCGGATCATATCCTACGAGAGTGATGTGTGATATGGTGTGTATTAACTTTTGTTATTATTATTATATGTGTATTAATAACAGACACATTAACTTAGGAATGGTTGGGTCTTGGGTGTCAGATATGACTTTGATATGTAGTCATATAAGTCCTCATGATGTTGCAGTAGTAACTTCTTTGTCTACTACATCAGCTTAGAGATACGTAAGGTTGTCTAGATTCGAACCCTTGGTTTACGTTATTAGTCGTTTGAAGCAATCTTCAACAGTAATCTTGGACGTAAAATATAAGACATCTAGATCTTACTTTACTTTCCTCTTTATCAAAGAGGGACTTCATATGGCGTCTATATATAGCACCTGTGAGAACGTTGGACCGATCCCGGAGGGTCATTTTGAATGCTCCCTCGTACATAGTCCTAGTGGAAACTTGACAATTGACTAAATACACCTTTTTTTACCAAAAGCGTAGTACACACACTACGAAACCGTCATTATTAATAGTATTACAGGTATTGCCTATAATATAATAACTAGATCTTATATTTCATTCTATGCAACAATTTTAATCATTATTGTATGATATTCTAGTTCCGATACGATGCAGAGACTTCCTTATATCATTTATTTTCTAGTACATATGGTTATTACGGTTAAACCTGTTCAGCAATAATTATCTAGGTTCATCAAGCTTTCGCATATATACAACGGAACGATTCAGGTTGTCTTATTATGTTTCGCCTTAAAGAAATATCCTAAAATTCTCGGTAATGTTGAATACTTCCGTTTTGTATTACTTACCATTAGTTATATTTGCTTATTTCTAACTTTGTAGAATCTTCACGACGTATATGTCTTATTGTATTGCAAATGTAATACTACAATCCTCTATTTTCATAATACGTGATTGCATGTATTTACTCTTGACCTCAAACGAAGTATTATTTGAATATTATTATACAAGAGTCTATATCCATAATAGAACATTTTAGCTGTGTCTGTCTGTATGGCGAAAATCGTACTGTTCTTTCCCAACAGAGCAATTAATGGTCATCGCGATGGCTGTACTAGTCTCGATTGCAAGATAATGACGATGAAATTTTGCTGACGTCTGAAGCCAGCGAACACTAGTTATTTGTTCTTACTAGTAGAAGGGTAGTGGACAAGTCGATAAAATCATTGATCCATATCTAAAGCGATGCTCTCTCTTTGGTCCCTTACTAGTGACACAGCATGCGCGATATTGTTGATCAATAGACGGTGCTCACTGCTTCGCTATATATATATATATATATATATATATATATATATATATATATATAATAAGTAGAGAACAGGAAGACGCTTTGTAGTTCTCGATTTAGAAGTATCGTAATGTTATTGAATCACCGATTGCGTTGTTAAATATCCTGTAACTTTCACATATGCTTCCATTCTGAGTGCTCAATGGACACATGGTTGTCGACCGTTGCTTTCTGATAAAAAAAAATCAGGAATTTATATTTTAGAGTATTTTGTAACCAACTTCATAGAAGCGTAATTTGAAATCTTTGATCTATGGGCTTGTTAAGTTCATATATTTCCAAAACGCGTGAAAAACCATGCTTTAACCTGTATAAGACGATATATATACAATATGTCTCACCTAGCTACAACTTTCAAAGATTAGTGTTAATGTTAAAACTAGGTTTATCCAATTCACATAATGAATAGTAGGTTGCAGCAAACGATATTTCACGAACGAGGGTAGTTTCACAGGTGGTTGAAAGGTCGACATATTAAGAGGTCGCCATCAGCTATGCACTTATCACTATACTTTACCCAACCAGTTAGATTCTGATTCGGCCTTATTTCTCGAGTCCCGTGCAGTTCCCTTCGTTTCTGGGAGACACATGTTCTAATGTAACTGAATTAGTGAATATATCAGCAATATTTGCTTGCTTGTTCGGCGTACGTTTTGTGGTATTCTTGTTTTATGTATCCCATATAATCAGAAGACAAACATATTATTGTCTTGCAGGGTTGGGTATTAGTAAACTAGCATGGATGATTAAGTTTCTCCGAGATGTCGAGTAAGTACGATGCCTGTTAAAAATCGTAGGCAAATTCGGTAGTCGATTTGCATAAAGAGAATAAAGAAGATGCATTTAGAGTCTCACGAGCGTTGCCTTTAGGTTGATTTATCAAGTCACTTGTTTGGCCGCACATTAAATTATTCAACACCATCATGGAACATTCACGTGCCCTTGAACTAAGCGTGCTCTTCCTGTTCATCTCCTTTTCGACTATAACTCAATGAGTTCACTGTGCTCGTAACCTCTTCATGACTCGTGAGGAAGTAATCAGATTTCTGTTCGCAATGAAGATTGTTTTCAGGATTCCGCTTACCGTCGTCCGCTTGTTCGTATGCTTACATAGCACATACATGGCTACACACACAGAATGTCAGTGATATTCCAATATTAGGATCTGGTCTTAGCGTTTCTATGCTCAAAATGAAATTAACACCGCTGCCCAGCTGCCAGGTATCTGTGAGAGACTATGGGCAAACTTGCGTGCTGGTGAACGCCTGTGAGTGAAAGCGCTGTCACGGAAAGGTAGCGCTTTCTTTAATCTAGCGAATATTCATGCGTCGAATAACAGGTGTAGTTAAGATAGCTGAGAAACGGTCAACAACTTTGTGTCTGATGGAGTAGGAAGATGACGCTGTATTTTGCTGTGCTACCACTAAGTGTCGATAGCCATGTATGTGCGTCGTCACCGTTAGTGAGAGAACATTTCCGGAACTGAGGCGCGGGTCTTAGTAGTCAAATGCGAGCAGCGAGCGGTACTAGTCTAGCGAGCCATTGTGAACTTATAATAAGTTGACCTTTAAAGGCCAACAGGTCATTGAAGTATATTGGGGCTGACGTTGCAGTAAACTGAATCACTTACATGGTATGCAAATTGGTATTAGACATATCGACCCATCAACAGTTCAGCCAATATGTAGTCCAGCCTGAAATACACGCCGTACGTCCGTCAAATCAATCAGATGGTTAGTTCAACGGATTGACACAAAACTACTGACGTCTAGCAGGCTGGATGGTGAAAATACCAGCAGCGCAAATCGGTAGCAATTACATTGTTATACCTTCTTTCCGACATTCTTCGTATGTGAAGAAACCGGACTCTTTGGCAGACCGAAACTGTAACGGCTGATGCGATATGCATAGTGATCAGATATCGTATTTGCAGTCTTCGCTATCGTAACTGGATTTCAAAGATTTAACGGCCACTGAGTTGCTGTAGAGCGTTCATCAGCACCATACATATTAAAAAGCTATGTAGTGGCTTGACTATTATCCCGTTTAAATTACAAGGGTTAATGTGGCTCGAAGTTTAATAATTCCAAAAAAAAATAGCTTCAAGTACGAAGGATCCGGTAAAATTTAAAAAAAAATCGACAATATTTTGATTGGTTTCGTAAAAATATTACGGTAACAGCTATCGGATAGCTAAAAACAATATAATCCGGAACCGCGAATACAGCAGCTCATGACGATGTGGATAAAAACATGCTTTATCACAGCATAAGTGGATCGAATAGTTAATAAAACATATAATTGAAGCAGTTTAGTGACACCGATTCCGAGTAATACCACAAAAAATAAAGGTCTCATTATGAGGCAATCTGACTCTTGTTGTCGGTCAGGTGGTCAGAAAATTTAACTAAACGATTTCAACAAGGAATTAAAGCTGTTACCTTTACCGTTTTCTGTTTGACAATTGAAGTTGATGAGTAAGCGCAGTTTTTTCACGAACTTTGCTCTGAGAATATCTGTTAGTCCACTTACTTATCCATTTCCCTTAATCAGCACGAAAGTAGGAAATTTCATATCATCCTGTACTCATAGGTAAAGAGCCCAAATAGAAAAGAAATTAAACTAATTATTAAATAAACGATTTTCGCATTGAATATTGGCATAATGCATTGCTTCAGACAGCTGGCTTCGCTCAATACTGGAGTACACACGTCCACTTTCGAATTTAGGGTCAGTTAATTGTTAACCTGCAGTAAGTATCCATTTGTCCCACTGTAGATAATAAGTACGCTTATAGCATTTACATCACTTATTAATCTACTTTTTTGTTACTGGTCGAATACTTTCAGCTATGCCCAGTTTCGTGGAGAGAAACATCCCGTACCACCGAAGCAGCAAATTATTCAGGAGCTCAGGGCAACATTGGCGTAACTATAATTATTATTATTAATCCGTCGGCAAGAACACTTGATCCTCGGGGTGAGATCTGTGAGTCGAGTCAATTACTTAAGATTTTTCGGATGCTGTAAATCTGATCGCAGCTTCAGGGTCGGAGAATTCATTGAAAGATACTCCGATTTCACTGGTCAAGCTTGCGTCTGCTTTTACGATACGTAAAACATCAAACGCATCGATCGTCTAGCTATACTTTCAGTTCATGCTAGCGTCACAAAGCTAAATTAGTTGATACCATATTTTGTGCCGTAGTCAAGTCAAGCAATGACTTGCGATGATCGATAAAAACCCTTGAAGTTGGAGATTCATCCAGTGATGTACCTATATGTCGCTGAAATAAAAGGTAATAAAAAAATCTATATATAGATATAAACTATGTAGTGGTTAATAGATCCAGAAAGCGGGTTTATTGAAACGTGGATGCGACAATAGGTACGGTTTTATTTGAGTTTAACTAGTTATACAGATTTCTTCAGGGCAGTACCTGTGACCAGATTACATAAGCCGACCCAACCTGACTCACGCACTGGCAGTAGGGACGTCTGCGTAGCTACTCATTGAATGTTCGCTGCAAACAAAAGGGTAGGGCCTAATTTTAATTGCTACAGTCACACGCGTAAGTGATAATATTATGATATCTGGATACAGTAAATAACGTATCTAGGATCGGGCGCCTGAAAAATCATTAATGGCACCGCTGCTGTATTAAGTTGCTTAGTTGAAAAATATACTCATTATTATTTTGACAGAAGTGGGCACATGGACTATAAAACAAGATGTAGACGACATTATACTTAGAAGTAAGATAACGAAGCTCTTCTTATTTGGATGAATCTATTATAAACGTATTTGCTTGTCTTGAAGTACTGGACCGTATAACACAATTGTTGCGTTTGTGCACTTTTTAAAGGGCTATGTTAATTCAGAATATTATTATTATATTATGCGTTAATAGATTTTTGCAATTTTCAACCGATCTAGGCGAACTTGCAGATGACTTATGTTACAGACTGGCTTAAAGGGGAACAGCCTATATAAGACGAGTAACTTCGTATATGCTGAAATAGAATTTGTGTAAAGTTCTAGTTTTTCCTGTGACAATTTAGTTTTATAAATGCCGTGAGCATAGTGTGAGTGTACGAACCCAATTTGTTTTGGATCTCACCGTAATTCGATGTGCATGTTGTTCGTCTCTGTTAGCTATAGTTGAGCTCCAAACAAGAAAAAGTTTCTGTTCAGGTTCAAGCACTCGTGGAAATGTTGCTTTCCAGATCAATTACAGTAATATTTATCGACAATAGATCCACGACTCTAGTGCCACTCTTTTTTGTTGGCCTTAGACAGCGATCGCCGCGAATATCTCATTACCCTTACCTAGACGGTGCGCTTACTCATTGTAACCTTTGTAAAAGCATATTTGCCACTAAGCATAACGGTCTGGTCGGCAGCTTGGTGCTGGTTGACCAGCGATAAATATACCAGTTCGGTGGCTGGGTGTGCTAGAATGAATAGAACCTATTGCATGGTCCATTTTCCTGCCGCATTGTCGAAGACTGGTTCCGTAGTACTGCATTATATATATATATATATATATACACAACTTTAGATGAAGAAGAGAGAACGACTGTTAGATGGCAGTCAATTAATGGGTAGGACAGCACAGAAGTTCGGCACTACCATTCTTGGTCGCTGTTGGCGACGCTACCAACCGCACAATGTAAGCTTATTGGGTAAGACCCTAGGGTACCGGTTAGAATGAAAGCTATGACAACTTTGAGACTGACAAAATAACATACTAAAAACAACGGTGATTTTTCCACGGTGATGCGATTTTTATTGTTGCAGTTCAAAATTGGCTTCAAAATAAAGCGGGGTTATCTATACACAGATATCTAAGGTAAAAGACAGATCACTAGCAATAAAATTAGCTTATATAAGACTTCCAGAAGCTCTTTCAAGAAATAAAAAATAATTCAAATAATATATTCGAATGCTGAAATTTCTTAGTAGGTTTTATAAACTAAACAGCTTTGTAGCCTTGGGTAGTCGAACATTCTCACGCAAGCAAATAGTAAGCTAATCGCAACTATGGAAAAATTGCGCTTTTGATGTTGTTGGAATGCCTAGTCGATTTTTTTCATAACCGCCATCTACTGATTTTTATCTGCAACAAAAAGAAAAACGTAAGGATAAGCAGAGAGAGAAACGTTTTCAATTTACTACCTAAGCGTATCTGCCATTTAAATTTCCCTGGGGCTAAAGCTTTCTTTAAAATAAAATAGCTTAATAGCATTAAATGCTGACTTTGACGTTGATATGCTAGATATGAAGATGCTTCCTCTACAAACATTACAGCCGTTGAGGAAGTATGAACCGCAAAAAACAATGTGTAAAATACACGACTTAGTAATTTCGACCGGACTTACGGGTGAGAAATGTTTTGATGAGGTGATCTTTTAAGAATTAAAATTAATTAGCATGTGCAAGAGCAAACAACGTGAAAACGCGACCATAATGAATAACAGAAGTAAATAAAAATAAAAAAACACCAAAATTATAGTAAAATGATTCTTATAAACATTTTTATTCACTATTACATTTCTTCATATTCTCATTCACCGGTGGTATTTAATATTATACTCGATCGAACGACACCAACGTTATTTTTCCTTTGGATTAGCTACTATTTATCTGCCTTTGATCAAGCCTTCTTCATTGAGTCCAATGTCGAATGCGATCAAGTTGTGTGTGGCGTCCATCGAAGCAGAAGATCCTGGCAGGCCATCATTTTTTCGAGCTCACCCATTTTACTCAAAAAAAACCAAGAGGGTATAGATACTCCGATCTAAAAAACTTTTCTCTGGCGCCATCCAATCGTACCTCATTCGCATTCTGTGTCCATTCAATGACAGCATATCACGTAGCATTTCACATTGCTCTGATACATATACATCACTCACCGTTTACCTCACGGCTTGCCGTATTGCATAGTACACAACTCAAATGACTTTGGTTTCGTGTGTATGTTTCTTGTTTAATCAGTATTCTGGACGTGTCTGTATTGACTGACAGGTAAATCAGACGAATTCAATATCATTCACTTTGGTTAGTCATTATCAATACTACTACATATATATATATATACATATATTAGTCGTGGATTTCGTTGAGTCGAATATTCGAGTGTCGACAAGGGCATTCGTCTATGTGCGTATCCGTGTCCCTGTGTTTGTAGCTATTATACTACATGCTTTATTAATCGACCCATTTGGTACTAACGTTTACCCTCACCAGCTCGTATTGTAAATACACTCGCTTCGCTGCACCGCCGATACTAATATTGTAATAAAAAAAAAATAGAGCCTTCATGGTAGTGATAGTAATCAATTCAGAATTTTTTAGGTAACCGATGTTGCACAAATACGTACTAATAGTTATTTTAATAAAACGTCACCGCCGTCATAATTATCATATTTATAATATAATTGTAGTACTATCTACACACATGACCCTATCATTATCAATGCTGATATATTTTATCATTTCCACTGGCGTTTTACGTTAGAGTGCTGCGTCGTTTTATTTGCTCAAAGACCAAAATATACATAAATCGTAGATCTATGTGATCTCACCTTAGATCTGCATGCTTCCTTGCCTCAAACTTGGATATATATAGATACAATGATACAGTAGTTTGCGCATGTCACTTCTTAGTCTCCTCCTTCATGAAACCTTTTTTTGTTCTCTTAGTGTTTTAGACCTTATGCCTGTTTGGCTGCACCTGTACGTCGCTGTCATCTAGCGATTATGGGGCGATTATTAGGGTCTAGGCACATTACTTCTCTCCTCGATCAGTTCGTTCACTGGTCTTGCGCAATTCCGGTTGCAACTAACCGCGCTTAAGAAGTGAATGACGGCTAAATCATAGAAGGGGGTTATTTTCGGAGCATTGTCTAATATGCTTTATTAACGTCACCACTTCATCAATTTGTACTTTTACACTCTAGACTGTAATTATACTCTGTAGATAGACCTACAGAAAACATTAACTGTATTACTGGGACTTCGTTGTTCATTATCTTAATTACGTAATTCTCACTACATTTGAGTATACGTTATGACGTGTTTGAGATATCGATGTTAAAGACAATCGAAAGATTCAGCCGCTTGATTCGCTCAAAGCCGCGATACTTCTGTTGCTTAATGTTGCTGACTGTTTAGAGATGGTTATGTAGTAGGAAGTCACATAAAGGTTAACAAGGTTATAATAGAAGAAAACTACGTGGAACCACTCAATCAGCTCGTATATTCGTTCACGACACATCCGTTGCCGGCAGTATATACGCACGGACTGAGCTCGATGTGGTGCCGCCGGTGGAATTTGCCGAACTAATGAATGTAAACATCGTGATCAGACTAAAGTTCATATTGGAAGGTTTTCATATAGGAGCATGACCAACCGTTCGCTCAATAATTGGGCCGGATGCCACAAGAACGATTTCTACCCCATTTGGTTGGTTTAGCCCACCTATTCCTAGCTTCCGCTCCCACTGAAATTGACATTTTAGAAAAACCTAAAGGGGAGTGCGCATTGCTGCCCTAAGATGTTCATTAAAATTAGGTCGACATACAATAATGGCTTAGTGGATACCCATAGCACAACATAATTTTTAGTTTATTTCTTTATAGTAGTTTATTTCTATTTGTATGTGTCCACGTTGCATCACTATATCTGTGTTACCCTACTAACCGTATGATATTATGCTCTACTAGATAATTTTTAAATGCACGTTGTAAGCTATTTTCATTTTAGCTGATAATCTCCGACGCAACTATTGCTTCAACAAATAGCAAGAAAAAATCGTACCATATCCTTGGCCTCCACATACATCTGACTTATTATATAAGAAGTAGACTTATTTTCGAAAATTAATTGTGGTAGTTTTGTGATTTGAAAATCATATTAGATCGGCGACATAGTGAGACGACGGAAAAAGGTATGCTGAATATGACAAATTTAGCAGTAAATGGTTTAGAATCTAGGAAGTGGCACCTAGGCTATTGGCTATCACGGTATTAAACAACCATCAGTATGGACGCATACAGCATGAGTCAGCCGCGCCCCAAACAACTAAAGAGGCGCGCTGTTTATATAGGTGTCACATTCTAAACACTTAACTGGAAAGTTTCTTTAGAGAAACTATTCCACAGTAAACAGCAATTTGGAAGCCTTGATTAGCTCAGTATGCTGGGAGCAGGTGCTTCAGTGCAAATACAGTGCTTATGGATGGTTGCTAAACAACTAGCAAAAGATTGTAAACAACTCCAAACAGTAATAGGAGTAGCGGTAATAACAAAGTTTTCTACTGGCGCACATAATCGTGCTTTGATACGAACACCTACAGACATGGTGCTTTGTTTAAGAACCGTGTAGATTATAGAAGTCAAACATGCTGGAGCACTCGTTTCAGCTATGTGAGACCATGCTAACTATGATCCTTGCAATACTACCTTCCTTCAACGGACGGAGAGACAAGCACATAATTACAATAACAAGTCAGAATACAAAAAAAATCCATCATTAGCTAATCTTCCCCTCTGTTATTAATAACATAACTCTACGTAAGGATTGATTGTGTGTACAGGCTTAAAACGATGACGGCTTCATTTTAAATTGACATATCAGTTATTTTAACTGAACGTTTGACGAACATTTAGTCTTCGGAAAGGTACTGCCGTTTGTGCTAAGATTTACTCTAGAGTTATTGGGCCTTAATCGACATGTTTATGTCACAAGATTAGTGACTTAGACGCTTTTGAGCTTGTCATTTTCGAAGCTTTCATTATTTGTATATTTTTATAGAGGTGACCAAGGTTTGAATGGACACGCAACTTACCGTTTAAGAGAATTTACTTATAGAAAAAATTACCATTTTCTGCAGCTTTTTGTTCACGCATCAAAATTTACTGCAAGGTCCCTAATATGGTAATGAAACAGCAGGATAATTTTATGTGGCTCAATACTGAACACCTCGAAAATAATGATCTTGCTTTCCTCACAAATTGATCCATTGCAACTGATTAAAAACTAACTACACGGCGGACAGTATGCTTTTCTGTGTTGCTGCTGATGAGGAAGAAGATCGTTTATGTTGATCACGTTATTTCTATGACAAACATACAAAACGCTATGGGAATTTTAAGCATCCGATCTGTTATACAGTCATTATATATATATATATATATATATGCGCATAAACTTTCTTTCTCACACATTCGTGTATTGCGATCACAAAGTGTGGGGAGCTCCGGTCGATTGCAGTTGTCAACATGTTCGGGAGGTGGCTACGATAACTAGACGAGGCGCCGACGCAAATAAGAAATGACTGATATAAATGAGTGTCACTTCATTTAGTTTACGGGAGCTTGCTGTTTGAAGACTGCAACTGCGAAAACATGCATTGTCGCAGTGCACGCTTGCCGTTGTCGTTCAATGGATGGGCACTTTACCAGCCCAATTAATGTGTCCTTTACACTAAAGCCGTACGCTCGATATAATCCGAACGGACTGAAGAATGCATGTTGCTGCTGACTTCACTGTTGATGTGACTGCTGTAGCGATGCTTACTGTTCTTGTGATTGTTCCCCCTGCTGTTGTGAGATGAAGCGGCGAGCATTTGCGAGATGGCATCTCACGTCAGAACGGCCGGGTCCTATTACATCATCTTTGGGCGGCGCTGCGGGTCATGCGTTTTTCACCACCAGACACTGGCTTTATTCGGAACAGCTCAATCTTTAGGTGCTGACAGAGTTCGCGACAGACTTGATGACTATATGCGACCATGTCGACGCAAGCGATCAATGTGCAAAAGTAGAGAACGTAAACTTCCGGCAAAAATTCGCTAAAGTATTGATTAAGGAACAAGCATACTGGGCCGAAGAGTGCGTAGTCTGTGTACTTCATCTTGCTTTTAGACATTTGTGCCACAATTAAGCGGCAAGTAACTTTGGCGGCAACAATACCAAACGCGATGATGTACAGAGTGGGATTGTACTCGAAAATATGCGATTCGCTTTTTTTGAAAATGCAGTACGCTGGTACTATCACCAATCCATAAGGTATGCTTGGAGATAATACTGACGTGCCTGCCACGGAGGAGCCATTTTTCCCCGCGCCTCCCCATAGAATGACGCGGAATTGCCGGACAAACACGTATACCGCGCACAGCAAGCCCACATAAAACGGCACGAACCGCAATTCCGTATGTATCAACGGTAGCTCGATTGCCCACATTTGTGGACCGAAAAAAGCCGTCAACAGATAGATAACAATGACAATACACTGAACTTCAGTAACGTCAAAGGCGCCCACATTCAGCGCCCCGGACACAAACGTCTGCCAGTGGGCGCAGTAAAAAAGCGAAATGGCAATAAAGCTTTGTAGAAACATATAATCGGGAATGTTACCATAGCCCATCGTAATGCAGGACCCGATTGAAACAAATACAGTTGACACGGAATCGCAACCATGGTCGAAGAGTTCACCCAAGGGCGAACTTGAGTTGGTACGACGGGCCTGTTTGCCGTCACAGGCGTCTAGCGTCTGATATATAAATAAACCCAGTGCTGAAAGGACAAGACACCACGACGGCACTGGACTTTTACCGTCAGGGCTGTACCATACAAGAAGTAGCGTCGTCAGAACATTAACAATTAATCCTAACATTGTCATCAGATTCGGCGCCAACCATAACGGCAGTCGAGCTGTGACAGCATTCCAGAACGGCTGAAAGAGCGGTTCCAGTAGAGACCGTCCCTCGCAGTTGTACTTGTGTTGTGCGAGCCGTCGCAGTTGCGACGGCTCAAGGACCTTCTCATAGCTGATCCAATTCAACATGGTCGAATTTGGACTAGAGCCATCGGCACCGTCGGAGACACCGAAATACACGTTGCGATCCGCTGTTTTTACTGCTGAAATTCAGGGCTTCGTATCACACTTGCCGTGTACTCCAGTTGCGCACATAGATTTGCCTCACACACACCACTGTTCAGTAGTTGCTTTTCAGTTGTCTGTTGTTATCACCGGGACGAGTAGAGTTATTAACCAGATAGGCAGATAGCTGCACGTAATTTTGTTTCGACCCAAACTGCGTTCGTCTACCGCAGTTCGGCTCCGTCAGCGGTACTTGCCGTTCCTGTCGTTGCTGTTAGCTGTGAAAGAGTCAACGTACCAGTGACGTTTTCCGCTCCGTTCGTGTCGCAGACAGCGGCCTTTGCTGTCTGTATATCCGTCCCTTGTCGTTTTTTGGCCTTTCGAATACTTTTTGTACTCCTGTTTTTCCGTAGTTACAGCTTAGAAGGAGAGCACACAGGCCTGTCGTAAATGCTGTTTGCAGCTGACGCTGTGACTTTTTCTATCAACTACCCCTAAAGTGTGTGTCCTACTGACAAGGCGAACTCCACTAGCTCACCACAGAGTTCACACAGCAAAATATCTAAATCAACACTCACGTACAACTCTCCAGCAGTAACGGTCGTGGTTGCCGAAAAGGTTGTTTACAGGCCTTGGACTAGCGGTAGAAACAGGGCTGCTGATAGAACTACCCTCCCCCAACTGTTGTTGTCACCTTTCAGACACGGAAAGATAGAGTACTTATATACACACAGCACTATCCGCAATAGCTCCAGCCACGAAGATACACGATGATGGCGGCGGCGAGGGCGGAAGAACGCAGAAGACAGTTCAGACTAGAGCAGCGGGCAGACAAGCCCTGCCGTTGTTAATGTTCTGCAGTGCTCCTATTCGCATTAACCGAGGACGAATTGCACGAAACAGGGCAACAGCAACGACCGGACGGCACAACTCGACAGATACTAAACGCAGACCTGACGCGCGCCGCTGAGCTGCGATTACCAGCCTTGGATGGTGAGAGAGGGGCGTTTAAATTTTGCAGCGCCAAGGTATCGTCGACAGAAGAGTAACGAAAGAAAAGCAAGAAAGAGCACGCATTTTTAGTGAATGAATTAATAAAGTGCATGTCAATGGGCTACATCGGGTAGCTATGTGATAAACTAAGTAAAAGAAACTAAGAGTAATTGGTCTCGAACTTATGTATTATTTTACACGATATGCACCTATAACTTGTTTACAATCACTCACATATATTGATATGGCTGTTATGCTTTTATCCCGTAGCGTATTTGTGTGACTGGCCGAGCAAGCTAACTTTCAAATCATCCCACGCGAATCTGTTCGATTTCATCGTTGAATGTAGAAGCTGTTATTCTGCTTAATTGTATTCACTTCGAAGAAGTGAATACAGTTAAATAGAACAAAAGCTACGCGAATTAGTAGCTGACTGTCGTATATTTGTAAACATGAAGCCGTGCTCTGATTGTTCTATCGTGGCGCCGCTGACGCTGCCGCTGCCGCAGTGTTGTGTTACGGTGGTGGTCCCTGTGACAGAAGCGCTAAGCGACGTTCGATTTCTCCTAGTCGCTTCAATGGCCACTGCTGTTGAATTTACTCTATGGTGTGTTATGCTGTTTTGTTGATACTTAACGTCCTCTCCTACTCTAAACCTATAAAATATATCAAGGGCAAGACGCTGCGTCCAGGTGCACGTGGAGACGAACTCGGTGGACCGTTTCTATATGCGTGATTGTGTGTGCTGGTTTGCTTGCGGCTTTTCACCTTTCGGTGTCATCCAGATCGTAAACTGAAACCAATTCTGATGGCTAACATTATATTATCAGAATAGAAAGTAGCTCATCAATTGCAGGTTACTGGCTAGTGTTGCTGCATCAACTCCGTCGGCTGTGCGCAGTGGACCTGGATCGTAGTGCGCGTGTGCTCACGACAAAGGAGCACGCAGTCTTGGATGCTATTAAATTTGCTGCGTCGTGGATGCCCCCACGCTCATCTGATAACAACAACATCGAGAACGGCACCAACTGAGTCGAAGAGCGCCTTCTTGGCAGATCATACAAAATGGGAATATGGTGGGACATAGCTGAAAATTTCATGACCGCCGATACCGTCTGTTTTGTAGTTAACGCGGCTACATTGGGCATATTGCATCGGGTGTACAACAGCAAATACCATAATTATGAAGCAGTGAAGGTATGTAGCCATGCTCGTATAAGCTACGTATTTGTATAGGCAAATCAAATGATTCGCCTACTTACGATAACATTGGAACAGCTGGTCGAATGCGTCTTGGCACATTGCAGGCGTGTTAAAATGTAAAATTGTTACAAAAATATTCACAAAGTAAATATCCTATGTAAAAAGGAAAGAAAAATGTAAATTAAATAGGGGAATCGCATAAAACATTCTATATTTAAGTGTGCTAACGTCATTAAGTCTCTTAGTGAAGACTTTCTGGGCTATTGTCCACTGCACGATAACATCGTGATTATCGCAGACGTTGATCACGTGCTTTTATATGTGATCGGCTGATTTTAATCGCAACAATTTGACGTTCTTTTAAATAATCAATTTGATATCTCTATTGAATATTGGAGATTTCTGCCTGGAATAATCCGGGTTTTCTAAATTATGAATGGGACAGGTTATGATTGTTTAGGGTGGCACATCTGCAGCATTTGGAAAATGTAACTTAAAAAGGAATTTATTTAAACTAAACAGCTAACAGATTGGCCTTATAATACTTGTATGTCGAAATCGTGCGGTCTAGTGACTTGGTCGCAATGTTGATTTAAGTCGGCTTATCTTTTGATGATGAAAGCCCAAATATGTCTATGATTAATTATAAATATAATCTATCGATATGGTAGGTGCTCAATATGTATTTCAAAATCGTTCGCTGTAGATATTTAAGAAGAGTTAGGAGAGTCGCCGACATCGACACGGACTAAGACAAAAAACACCTTCCACAGTAATGTGTCGAAGGGAATATTTCCTGGATTGTATTATTCCTAAACCAAGTCACCGAGCTGTTTGTGTTGACAACTCACAAAACAATATTACACAATACAAACGTATCTTTAGTTAAAAGGTAACGAGAAATACAATCATCATGTGTTAAAAAAAAACTATTTTTTTAAGGCTAAATATACACAGAAACTTTTTCATTTCTAAAGTTCGCACCTGTACTGGATAATAAAAAGTACAACGTTAAAGTTAGATTGAGTGCCTTTTAAACCTTATAATCAGTTCTGCCTGAACTGACCCGCATCTGGTGCAGTTATAAAAAAGATTTCCAATGACACTGAATCATAGACTAACACAAGGGAAGATTTTTGTTTATTTGGTTAATTACGCCGTGGACGGGCGGTGTGCATTTTGTAGAGAACTGGGTGTAAATATTGTCGTGTAGATCGCTTGCATCGAGAATGAAATCACCAGTTAAGCTTTTTAAACTAAGTCGTCTTTGCTGAGCAGAAAATTTCGTATTTTGGTTTAGACGAAACGCTAAGTAAAGCAGGCATCGTAAGTGCACTTTCTTACACCGATACCGCTTATATTTAAAACCTTATTCCGATTACATGTTGAGCCCATTTTTAGAAAAAGAAAACAAAAAACGAGAATCGACAGAAGATTCCAAAAGCCTACTACATACAGCATGCAGATGAGGATTGAGGAGAGAGGATGGCCAGCAGTCGAAATTGGTGGGCTGGGACTTCAAACATAAGGGAAATACACACACGTTTAGTGTAGGTACTAGGTTGCCTTCATCAGCCGCGCTTTTTGTATATGTGATCAGTGAACGTTTTTGAGTGGCTCCGTCATCAACGAAAATCTGTTTGTGTTATTTTAGACAGCTCGCCAGCTAGAGATTAGCGAACACTTAGACACTATCCTGCGGGAGGACTATCCCAATGGCACCTGCGTACACGCCGTCGTTCGGGGAACAGTCAAAGCAACTCAGAAGCCCCTAGAGTCTAAATTTGCTCAAGGGCAAAAAGGCGTTATTCAACGGCTAATGGTCATCGAACATAAGATGAAATGGAATCCCATTTCGCGATTTTGGTATGAACAGACACCCCCATTTCAACGCTGCATAGGATTATGCACCTAGGGAGTAACGGTAGTATCTGTCAACCGAACGAGTAGATCGTAATGTTTAATAACTAACTAAGAAACTTTTAAAAAAATCTTCAATAGACACTAAAACTTTTGTGAGGGAAAATATATTAAGAACATAAGTAGTGCGTCATATTACATCTAAAGATCCGTCCTGGCTGTCCGAGATCTAAGTACATTTCTAGTATAGTAACGACTGCCATTTGCCTTCAGAGTTTCAAGTATTTAATTACGTTTGTCCATTCAACTGCAGGACGCACCAGGAGCGCGTGATTCAGGACCGCGTAGACACTACGCAGTTTGTATTAACGTCACTAGCGACAGCTAACCCTCGAGCGCGTGTTGAAGTGCCTAACCCCTTGGAAAGTGCTTCGATCCCTCTGAAAGCGGTGTATGATAAGTTCACGCCAAATAAGGATGGATTCGAAAAATCCTTTTTCGGTTGGCTCGAAGGTGAACAACCACAGGGTAAGCGACCTCTTGATCTAGTAAGAACCCAGAAGCATTGCTTGTGCAGTTTGGTCTGGAATCTCAAGGCCTATGCTGGTACGAACTACGCATGTACAAGTGTGCATCTAATGGCGTACCGCTGCCTCGCATTAAAATAAAGTGATTCTCTCGGAGGTGGCATAGTGATAACTTCGAGGCTAACAACTTTAGTGCAGTTACGATAGCGATCTTAATTTTTCTTTTTTTTTAAATTTTTTGTCCCTCTTTACGTATTGACCATTGCATTATATCTGTACGTTTGCTTGTGTTGAATCTAGGAATCCAAGAACAGGAATATCTTCTCCCTGAAAATACCATTTTGACAGGCTTCGGTACGTTAGTCAGAGACGAAACTGGTTCCGTATCGCTAGTGGTACCTAAAGATGGTACCCAGTTGATTCTTACGACGGAAACACATTCGAAGCTAATAGAACAGCTCCGCAAAGAGTGTCGCTGGGTAGGGTTAGGAGCTTTCTTTTTTGGGATGACGTGCACAGCGCTAGCAAGCTATATGGGTAAGTTTTTACTGGATGTTAAATTCAATATGGTTTGTTTGTAGTAGGCTATAGCTCTTGAGCGTTTCTGCGAGACACATTGCGGAAGAAAAAACGAAACTAAATGAAAGGTTGTGCTAACTAGTTTAGAATGTACCCTTCCATTAAAGATCGTACTATTAAGCTGATTAGAGACAGTTAAGCCATCTAAACTAATGGATTTTTTGAGTTGAGTTGAGAACAGTTTTTGAGAAGCGCTTCGTTGGTCGGATTTATATTATGCATATGCTTACCGACAAAATGGTTAGGTTTGTCCAATCGAAAAAGTGTATTCTCACTTACATGTTTAACATTCAGTAAAAAATAAAATCTACGTACTTTGTGCCAATCCATTCAAATGAACCAACATTCGAATAAGCCGACGACACGGAAAAAAAACTTACTAAAATCATGTAAAAATAGAGTAGCTATTTGACGTTATGAACTCCATATATAATTTCCTGTATGCTCATGTCTAATGGCTCAAATACTTTTTTTGATAAACTATGCGTAAGTTCGCGACACACGTTTCAATTTAGCATGTATCGCTGTTGGCTTTCAGCGTACCGCATCTATACAAATTATCGGCGCCAACGACAGCATCGCACGGATTTTATGCGTCGGGACGAGCTTCGCCGGAAACGCCGAAAGGAGGCGAGAGAAGCTGATGCTGTTGGCTCTCTAAGTGGAACTCCGCAGTGTGTCGTCTGTCTGACGAACGCTGTAGAGGTGCTGCTTCTCGAGTGCGGACATCTTTGCCTCTGCACGGATTGCTGTGAACAGATAACGGACAACATATGTCCGATTTGCCGCTGTAGGGTAGTTCGGCAAGTCGCAGCTTATTTGCCTTAGGAAGAGGTAATTGACGCCGAAAAGATGGGCTGCCACAGTTTAACGGGGAACGCCATAGGGTTTTAGCTCGTCCAGGAAGGTTGCCTGCCACGATAAAACAGTCAGTTGAACTTGAAATTCTACAGTGTTATTGTATTACTTTGTAGACCAGCTACTGACTTGATATTATTAGTCCCATGTATAGGTAAAGTAGGGCGGGAGTAGAAAGGAAAAGCAAAGACGATTGCAGAGATTATTCTATGGCTAGTTTGCAAATATTAAAATGAAATTAATATGTTAGTAGAAAGTTGGTACGGTGACGAGCTTGCCGAACAATAGGAAAAAGCCAAGGAAAGACTAATGGCTTAGAGTAGTATCACATATAATTGGGGAGAATTTTTTCAGAAGGTTTTTTCACAGTTTTTATAACTGTGAAAGTTGTATGGTGAGTAGCTGCTTTCAATTTGACAATTACTGGTTGGATCCAACAAACCGACTGTATGATACATGTAGATGTAGACTATTATTGATATGTAGTTGCTTGGTTTTTCTCCAAAGTAAAACTATGAGAGCCTATTTTGCTCATATACGAGAGCTGCAAGTGTGGTTATATATGGAAACCTGTTGTGCCCCGACGAATCTGTCATTGCTGCTCGGATCAATACAATTAGCAGTGGACAGATCAACAACATAATTGGATACGCTCAGCGAAGTAAGTTTTTTGGTACACTGAAATGAATGCATGTGATTTTAAATAAAGTTGCTTCGGTGACAACCTTTTTCTCGGGACTATATTGAAGTGCTTGTGTATAGACTTCAACAGCAGTAATGGTTATGGTTACCTGGTTGATCCCTGTGAGATTTCATTTAAAGATGAAATTTAAAAGAATCAAGCTAACACTTTCTGAGGTGAACAGCGGGATTATTTTAGATAGATATAGATCAAACGCAAACAGTTAGGGGCTTTTCAGTCGATCAGTTAATCGCCGTTTTGAATTGACTGGTAATTTGGGGAATTAAGGAAGACATCGGAACCTTCATAATTGGCTAAAAATCATGACTTTGATTTTGCATCGAGAGTTTTAGGGATGTTAAAGGATTGTTAAAGTTAAAGGATGAATTTTTTTTCCTTAGAAAAAAAACAAACATTCAGAGATTATCTTTTATGAAATTTAAGGTTTGAAGGAAAAATGGTTCATATTGAGGCTTTGCTCCGCAACTCATAGAACCATAATGGAGTAAATGTGGCTAGTCTGTATGAAGTAGAATACATCATCTATACATATAAGGTAGTTACTTCTAAGGCAATAAATACAATGATCAGTTAGGGTAAAAATCTAGTAAAGTTGTTTTACCTTTTTAGTTCTCTAGTTATCTCAGTTTACCCAATAATGTCAAAATATTTATGGGAAATATTGTAATCTGTAAATGACAAATATATATATTGTCATCATATATTACATCACACAAAAAACAGCTGTTTAAAGTTTGTCCTCTCTAGCTAGATACGGAAAATATTATTCCTTATAGAACATTTCCTACACTTATTGCTACATGATTAATAATGACTGTAAAAATTGAAATTATTGTTTTAGTTTTTATTGTTTTAAAATTCGTTATTTAATTCGTCAGGAAGAAACGATTTTTCAGCATGAAACGGATTTAAGCCTAGACCAACAGGTGTGTAGCTAAGCACGTTACTGCTTGTCGTCATGGGAACGACAAGAAAAATAGTCACCATTGTAAAAATTTACCAAATGGTGAAGGTCGTTGCGTGCACATCGGACAAGATTGCTTCTCAACAAGTTGACAAAACTTATACATACTAGTACGTTATAAAAAATGGCTTTATAGAAAAAAAAAAAAAAAAAAGAATGGCTAGATATTGCCGTTTTTCTCTGTTAGGTCATCAGCGTCAACAGATAAGTTACTGTAACAACTTTGCCGTTGAACTGGCAGAAATTAGGCTTAGATGTGCTGCCTACAGGACGTTTACCCGTAAATATTATGTACTTGGTTTGAGTACCTTGAAAATTCCCCGCGCTTTTCCGAACATCTGTGTCATCACAAGCAGTGTTCACACTGAAGATAAATGACGCTTGGGATTTACACCTCATTCGTTTTATGTTTTTTATTGAATAAAATTTCGTCTGTCTTTCTCGTTCCCTCCGTTCTTAGATAACCCCTTAAGAACTTAAAAATTGTTGTTTAAAAATCAACCGCCAAAAAATGCACTTTAAGAGGCTGTTTTGAATACGTTTAGTTGAATCGTTTAGCCTTATGCTTTGATAGACCAATTGGCATTCAACTCAAACTTGATATCTAGTAAATTTGATAACGGTTTCAAGATTTCTTCTTTTAAGGTATGGATTAGACAGATATGACAATGAAACAACTAAGTAACATACAACTTCAGTTCATATTAAACCACCGGGGTTACTACAAATAATCTGAAATCATAACTTGTTAAATAAAATCTCACACCAGTCTTGAGGTTTCCGTTAAACGTCACACGTCTAGAATATGTCCTCTGATTAAAGCTATTTAACAGAGCCTATGTTTGACAGAGCACTTCATTTTCGTAGCAGTAGAAACAGTGGCTTGAAAGAGGAGCCGCAGTGACCAACTCAATTCGTTGCGTTGGGGTCATGAAAAAGCTACTGACACAGACGCTATTGTGTCGTGTCGTTCCTCTGTCATCTATCGGCTTTGCTCTGTTTCGCACCGTGTTTTTCATTGCGGCCAGAAAACGATGTTAACCATGTTTTTTACAAATTTTAACGTGATTACAGTGCTTTCGATAGTATTAGTACTATATCGAACAACAGATTTTATATTTATACGGAACATGGGATTTTAAATACCTTTTGGTGTAGCTGGGAGTAATGATTGCCTTGAAGATGGCCGGAGTTTGAGTGAACAAAGGCGTTGTCAACTACGTTGCTGATCAGTAAGTTTCATTATGAATCAATGCTAAAGCTGGGGGGGGGGGGGGAGCCAATGCGAAAGTACTTTACGATGAATCACATATAACAATATAAGCACCGATGATTAACAGTGTTCTTGTATATATTTTAAATTGAATTATATCTCGCTATTATTAGTCGCTATCCTCACAAAAAAAGTACAGTTAAACGTTAATACTATTCACACTAATTATAATAATTAGATGGTTCGGCCCAGTGCCACTGATTTAACCATTATTACCGAGTCTTACATCAAATCTTCGATTTCACGCTGTTTATCGAGGCAGGGTTTCTTGACAAGCGATAGACACTAATGGTTCGCTTAACTTATGGCATAATGAGTTATAGCCAAACGATGCCTAAACTGCAAAGGTGCTGCTACCCTGTTAATATTAATAAATGAATCATATTCCGCTACCTGTGTCAGTGGACGTATTTAAATGTTATTGAGGAAATGATCACACTTTCCACAAGTAACTCCGATACGGCCACCTCTTTGCAAAATGGTACGGAACGTCACCAGAGGTCACTGCCGGCGACGGCACTAATGAGCGGTTTTAGACTGAACACAGCAAATCTAAATTAAGCGGCGAAGTTAGAAGAAACATGAAGGAAAATAAAAAACGCGTCGGAGTAAGATCAAACAGTAGATCAAGGTTAAGAAACATAACAAGAAATTAGGGTGCAACATGCTTTTTGAATGAGATTGCACATTTGTGGAAAATCTCCGTGACTTACCGTTTGATATGAGGTTTTTTGCGTCCCGCTGAGATTGGCAATTCGTCACCTAAGGAGTTGGTTTTTCAATGAGGGTATTTTCGACTAGTGAAATAAGCGAAATCGATATCAGGAGAAAAACTTGCTTGAAGAGTCAAACCGCAGACGAGTACACCACGGTGTAAACCGGTTGTCGCTTTTTGTTGTTACTAATGGTTTTCCGTATAAATTGGTAATTGACCCTCATAGCAGCACCTGTGTTTCAGGTGCAGAAGTAAACAAAAGCTAAACGACTAGTACCGTTGCCCTTATAGTATCGATTATTGTGAAATGTAAACATGGCGTCAGGGTAGTCGTGAAGTCCTTGGTAGCGAATGAATATAATGGTATGTTAAACCTTGGCGTCAATAACGGGTCTTTTTCGCTTGGTCTGCTGGTGCGGCCCGAGTGCTGCCGAATGTTGACAACTATACTAACCGCATAAACTTAAATAAATCTTGGTCATAATTGGTACAATTTAAACATGACAGTGGCGGCTTTCGCCTGTGCTTTTAAACCTAAATTATCACTTTGTAACTTAATGTAATTTTACCTAAAGGCTACATATGTAATATATAAAGCAAAAGATAAGTAGTACTCGTGGTAAGACTGTTTTCTTGTTCCATAGGTCTATAGTTGGGTCAATCTCGAAATTAATTATGTAAAAAATGCGTATAACTTAGAAAGAAGCTCCCACCGTATGCACAATGATTACTTAGAATTTTTTGTTCAGAAACCGTTTTCGAACTTCATAGTCTCCGCTTCTAAGCTAAATGTAACACAGAGTATCATTCAACTGTTTAATAACATTTCATCCTCGTAAATTAAGAAACTGCATTATATTAGATTGGAGAGAGGAATTGTGAACGTTTTACATCAATGTATTTTTTGAACCTGCGATGATATAAAACTTGCTTTGGCTTCCTGTATAATTGCGCAGACGGCTATTCTCAAGGTAAATGCATGTAAGCTACTAATAATTATTTACTATACCCTTTTTCGCTTCTGTTTAGAAGTCAGTGTTTCGGGTGTATTTTTGAATACGCATATTTTGACTTGGTGGAAAGCCTGGACGAGAAAACGATACCACGAGTTGTGACATCATGTTGAAGCTGACGATTTTCGAGTCAGACGTACAATTTCGTAATTACTTTCGTAATTACTACTGCCTAATTCTACATAGTCACCATATGGTTAAGGACAGGCGTAGGGTTGTATAATATAAAAAAATGTTTCCAATTTGACGTCCGGTACTGCCAAGCATTGTTTGGTGGTTGGTCCTTGTTCGCACGGTACAGGTGGATATATGTCAGGTGCCAATCTGCCAATTGCTAATATGCAAACAGGCTATCATTAGACAATCATGAAGGCAGGTTATATCGTATACAGGAATCCATTAGGTTTACTCAAATGTTCGCGCTATGAGAAAGTTGCAAATGCAATCGAATTAGTGCTCGCAAAAAAGGGCAAAAAAATCCCTTTTTGGGAGCCGTGCTTCTCGACGTCTCCCACGGTTGTTCGGAGGTCCAATGTTTACAACAGTGCAGCTCCCACCGTTTTATGCAACGATTTGAAACAATTAGTGTGTCTGTCGCTTTATGACTTGGGAGCCTATGGAAAATTCCCACAGAGCAGATCGTGTATGGAATACGATACCTGAGCACGTGTTAGGTACGAACTTATCACTTTCTTGCTGATCGCACAAGTTGGGCTTGTCGAGCGGTGTAAGTTATGCTGCACAAGGCTTCAGTGTTTGATATAAGGTCCGATTAGGCCAGGAGTTTAGGACTGCAAACCATGCGAAGTGTCGCGCGTTTCTTACAATAGAAACAACTGTAATAAAGTCCCAATTTTGTGTCAAAAGTAAAATTTTAGTCAGTTTGTTACCCTCCCTGATTATACCGACGTGAACAAAAGTGCCGCCCTTTGGAGATACAAGAGTCTGCACGCTATCTTCAGGACTAAAAATATGCGTATGGCGCCGGCCAGAAGCTGTCATGGAATCTTTTTGTTTATGGTTCTTATTACCGGGAGATGTTCAAAGAAAACTATATGTGACCGAAACTG